GGAGAGGGAGAGGGAGAGGGAAGGAGGGGAGGGGAGGGGAGAGGAGAGGGAGGACCCTCCTCTAACACTGCAAGCCTGTCTTAGAACTGGTCTCATAAAATGCCCCGAGATTTGGGACTGTAATCACAGTGGATATTTAGGGCTGAAACTGACCTGTCCAATAAATATTAATGCCCTAATGGTATGCCAAACTAACACCCTTATTATTTTTTTCAGAGCATCACATCAAATAAATTAAAATTCTCATGTCAATTGACTCACTTGGCAGAAAGAAACCTGCACCCTGTGAGAAGAGAGAAGATGGGAGAAGAGTTCAGAAGGTGTGGAAAGAGACAGGTGGAAGAGGCACCGGACAGTATACTAAAATGTGAATATCAACACCATCGACTGCCCCACTTCCTAACAAATCCAGATTATAATTTTCTCAATTTGGGAATGAGAGCTGTTCCACATCAAATCAGGTATATTAATTAGCATTTTTGTTTCCGTATGCCTTAGAGAATATGATGATGATCAGCTCAGCTCAGGAAAAATGTGCATATTGCTTGCACACAAAATCCTCTTCTGTAAGGACCACTAGTTATAATGCTCATTAGTTATAATACTATTAGTCAGAATTCCCATATTCTCTGTAATCCTGATCACTTAACAGCTGGAAAATCTTTCTTATGTGTAATGTAGTTTCATTCTATACCTTAAGCCTCTTCCATTGTTTCTGTCCTGTTTGCTTCAGAAAAGATTATTACACACCTGCTTGTATAAAATTTTCACATATGCTTACAGAGGGCTATGAAATTTTATCATGATTATTCCTGAAGTTGAAACTTTTCTAATCTTTTCTTACAGATTGTGGCATAGAGTGCTAGTTACTTTCCAATAATCAGTTCTCCCTTCTGTGTTACTTACTCAGTTATATGATTACATTTTTCGAGCCTCTCTTGCAGCTAGGTGTGACCATGTGACTAGACTTTAAGCCAGTAATATGTAAGCACTGTGCTATGTGGATATTCTGAAAAAAATGTCCCTTATCATTTTGCCTTGCTGTCTGGAATGAAGACAAAATAGCTGGAGATCAATAACCATCCTGAGCCATGAGTTTGAGGTGTGATGGGCAACACTGTGTGTTGACCCTTCTACTAGAAATAAATTTTATGAGAATAGGCACCTTGTTTACCTTGGTCAAAGCAACATCCCCAGCACCTAAAAATGCCTGTAGTATGTGGTATAGGTTCAGGTATTGAATGGATATTGAATGAGTGAATGAATGAATTCACACCATACTATGTAAAACACTGATTCATAAAGTTCTTCCAGGGGATATTCAATCACCAGCAGCAAAAGCAAGGTCTCCGTTTCTGTCACAAAATCAAACTTTGCCATAAATCACATCACTCCTATTAGCTTCCCTTTGCTCTCCCAGATTTGCTACTGTTATAGAAGGAGAGGATTTTTTCTTACTGTTCTGCAATGTTTTCTTCAACCAAAATATTTTAAAATCTACTTTCCTAATAATTTTTTCTATTATTTTTTGGCTTAGCAAGTTTTAAAATTTTTAATATTCTAGGTCATGCATTTCTTTCTGTGTGTATCTGTTGTTAAATGCAGGCAATTGTGACAATACTTTGTCACAATATCTTAGGTGTCCTCTCAAGTCTACAAGAGTCATCCAGAATGGTATCTAATGACATTCCTAGGACATTAGACAAAAATATTATCACCATGGAATACGGTCACTAGGTCCTAAGGATTTAACTCCATGTTGTTTCCTGAACCTGAACTTCATTGAGCCCTTTCCCACTCCACTGTGGTCCCCATATTTTAATACATTGCTTGTTCTTGTCACCAAACCTTTCATATATCTTTTAAACTATTAAATATTAATAATCTCTGCTTCCTTGATTTTTGACCTCAGTTTTCCCTCCTGCTGTCCTTTTAATAAAGGGGAACACTCCCTCTGCTCCTTTTTTGTTTTCTTTTTTGGCACCTATGTGATGTAAATGTTCACACTTTTTTCAATTACATGTCATTTTTGTCCTAATATTTTTCTCTACTCTTCTCCAAAAGTTGGTGCTATTCCCGTTAATTATTTGGGGAAAATAATTAGCCTGCTTTTCTATTTCTGTGAGATCTATTTGTGGTAGAGCCCCTTGGTTTTGCTCAAAGTTCTTTTGAACCCACCCAGCTTTGAGGAAAGATATTATTTGGGTTTTGTTGGATACTTTCAGCTTTTCTGAAGTGCACACTTCTCGACACCTCACCCTCTCCTTCTCAGGGGCTTTCCCTGTAGGAGCCTATTAAAATAAAGACAGAGGTCATCCGACGAGCTCTTCCTAAGTCTCTCCTCTACTAGAAATGTCTCTGTGGCCGCACAGGTCGTGCTCCTTCCTGGCCTCTCCGTCCTTCCAGAGCTCATCCATCCCTGCTCTGGGTGCATCCCTCCTGCTCACGGGGGCCTTGCTCCCTTCATTCTCCTGGCTCCTCTAACTTCTGTTTTTTTCTCCATTGCCTCTTATCCTTTAACATATAAATATACTTGTATTTTTCATCTAAAATTAAAAATAGCAGTGTAGAGGAAAATAGTAGTGTATTTCCTTCTAACTACTGCCACATCTCTCTTCCCAGCCAAATGTTGGGGAAGAGAAGCCCTCAGTTGCTGTCTTCACTTCCTCGCTTCCTGTTCACTTCTTCACCCCAATGCTGTAGGCAATGGCCTTTGTAGCTTTCCTGCCCTCCTGACAACACTGGACTTGGTTAGGAAATTATGTATGGAAGCTGAGACCTGGCCAGATCTGTGCCCTTGGTAAGGGGGTGGAGTGGGTGCAGGGCAGGGCGGGGGCATCCTGAACCACTGCCTTCCCTGTAAGGTGGGGGCCTGGATGGAACTCTGGGCGGAATGGGTCCCTCGTAACCAGGTGACCGCGGAATGTGTTCTGGTTGGCTGGTGCCAACCAGGTGAACTGCCTTCAGTTGAGAAGCAGCTGTGGAAGGAGGAGGAGCTTCGGCTGTGCTCTCTTCTTGCGGTGGCTGTGATTCTCAGCAGTTGTCTGATCTCCACACCTTTGGACTAAGTCAGGCTGCTCGCCGTCCTCACAGACTAGTCAGCTCAGTGGAGGCGGTCACAGCTGACAGCAGGGGGTGCAGCAGCAGGGGCACAGCCAGGCCTTGAGCCCTGCCCAGGGCCTGGCAGCCCAGTGGCCCCTGTGCTGTACAGGGCTTTGGCACTGTTGGGAGTTGGGGGGTGGGACTGTTGAGTGAAGGCAGTGACAGCAGCAAGGAGTGAAGGGTCCTCATGGGGAACAAACTGTCCTGCTGCTGCCTGAAGCCCAATGCCAGCCCCAAGCTGGGCCAGCACTCTGGGGGGCGGCCTCGGGAATATGAGACTCCTGTGTATGGGGGGGGCTCCAGGAACTCAGTGGCAGAACCACCAGCCACGGCTGCCATGGAACTTGACAACTTGCATTCCCTGTTCTGTGATGGCCACCCTATCCTGCGCCTCAGTGACGTGGAAAAGCCCGATGGTAAGGAGGTGGCGGGTGTTCACTGCTCTCAGGAGTACCTCTGTCCTGTGCTGACCCCAGGGTCCCCTAGCAGGGAGCCACCCCCTCAGGCTCCTTGCCTGGAGCCGGCTTTCATGGAGCTGGCTCTTCCTGGCATCCCCACTCCTTATTCCCTTCCAGTCCTGTCTGGCCAGTTTCCTTCCCTGTTCAGTACCCAAACGCCCAGTTCTTACTCCCAACCCAGCCTGAGACACTCCAGGCTTTGGCCCTTCCTGTTTATGCCTCTGTTTAATGTCTCGTGGGCCTCTGTGAAGACTTTTGGGTGTATTTTCTCCTTTTTGTCAGTGAAAACTTGAATCCCCCAACTTCAGAGTATCCATCCCATCTCCCTCTCCTTACTTATCCGTAAGGTACTTAAGTGAAGGAACCAGGTAGGGGCTGGGGATACCCTGGCTCCCACCTGTTAAGATAGTTGATACTCAGGACAGTTCACATGCAAAGATGTTAGAGTTTATTATTTCGATTCAAAATAGACAACTGACATGGACTCTATGTGGTTTTCAGTTGGCTGCCTAGAAGCTGCTTTATTCCTCCCAACTGTAATTTGAATAGAGAGGGAAATGGTGGGAGAGGGACTTGAAATTACTGAGTGATGTGTAATGTGCTGCCAGTGCTACCGAGAATAGTTGTTTGGTTGTTTTTTTACACAAAGGAGAACCCTCTCAGTCTGATTATTTTAATATATTTACTTCGACACAAATATTTCTTCAGTTTTACTTAAGTGACTTAGCAGAAATCACTTTCATATTGCCTGTTCTAAGGAGGGGTGGGGGTTCACAAGAGTGTTGGTCAAAAGTTTCAAAGGAGAAGAACACATAGGTTTAGACTAATTTGTAACAAAGTCTTGGGGGTTAAGACGTCAGAGCCTGCACAAGAATGTTCGTCTCCATGGCTCCCCCTAGGTCCTCTCCCCTCCTGCAGGGAGATTCCTGTCTGACTGTGAGAATGTTCAGGTAACAGTCCTAAAGACCAGGTGCCTAAAGGGGTTGGGGACGAGGCAGGGGAGGGGGAGGGAGAAGAAGTGCTTGTGTAAAATAAGCCTGGGTATCAGTGTAGCTAATGGAGACTGTGGTTTTGAAGTAGAAAACATTCACAAAGATGTTAAAACCCCACTGGTTCATTTGCTTCATGTAAATGCCAGAGATTATTTCATAGAGCAAATGTACTATAGCTCTTACTCTATTTAAACTTTAGTTGAGCTTTTAATTTCTTTAAATGTTAGAATAATTAGCTGTGTGAATTCACCCAGATGGTGCACATGACTTTGTAACTGAAAAGTACTCGCTTTTCAGAATATTCAAATATTGTGAAATAAATGAACAAGTTATGTGAATTAATTAAGTGTACCTTTAAGCACAAGGCAAGTAAGTACCTGTGAAAACTTCTGCTCGCTCTGCTTGGCGCTGCCAGGTAAGCCTCTGAGTGATTTTATAAACCAGTTAGTATGGGTAGTGTTGGATGAGAGGCTAAAGAGGACCTTGATTTAATTCTTTTAAGGTGTACAACTCACTTCCATGTGTATCTCCTTTGGCCCTTCTAACTGCAAATAAGGCCCGTGTATACTCTCCCTCCATTGCTGCCGAGGAAACCGAGACTTAGACTGTGAAGTGACTGTGGCACAGCTGCTGAGCAGAAGAGGCTGACATGCAGGTGGCAATGTGCCAAATTCAGTTTCTGTGGTGCTTACAAAGTCTTTAGATTTTGGCTTATATTTCGTAATTTCTCCATAAATCGAGCCCATTTTAACTTCCTCCACTCGTGATTACTCCCATTTGCAATCATTGTATACAACTCAGAAGCAACGGCTGCTCCCCCTGTGTCTATAAACTCATCACAGTGGGTAAGGGTCAAAGTAGAAGTCACGGGGGAGCAGGAATTTCCCCGGGTGCGAGTTGCTGTGTTTT